GAGTACCTGGGGAATAACAGAGAAGCTTTAGGAAGAACCAGATGGCCTGGGACAGGATCAGGATGGGCTTTCAGGCCCCGGACAGGACCGGGGTGGGGAGGGGTGCAGCGTTTCAGGCTGAGTGGCTTTAAGGCTGGGGCCACAACAGCCTGATTGTACAGCCCTAACCACACTCATTGTCCCATCGCACCGTAATGCAGGCTGTAGGAGATGCAGTGTTCAAAATTCAATTAACTATAATTCCTTCATGCTGCACATACCTTTCTGAGAAAGGATTACTGCTTTGGGGAAAGGCCCTTTGCGTTTTTACGTTTATGGCGGTTCTCTAAAACTAGTCTAAAAATCAACTTGTACCACATGTACAGCTTAGAGTTTTAAAAAGTTTAAGAATTACAAACAACTTTTGTGTTAAATCAACAAAAAATGGCTCCTGGGAACATGAGAACTTGGACTGAAACACAACACAGTACATGTGAGGCACGACCTGTTTGTAGTGTTATCCATGCTATCCTGTCACAGGACATAGTACTATTCACGCAGTAGCTCTCCGCATGCTGCTCTCAGCCACTTGGATAATAGGAAGGGGAACTACATGCAGATCCTGCTCACTGCCCTGCTTTTAACACAATAATCCCTAACAAACTCATCAGTAAGATCAAGGACAAGATCACCAAGCTGAACTCCACCCGATGCTACTGGGTCATGGATTTCCCGACAGGCAGACCCAAGCTGACCCAAGCCTAGCCCTCCACACAGGAACTCCCCAGGGTTGGGTGCTGAGCCCCCTTCTCCCTGGACACACACGAGCGTGCGGCCATGTTAAGCTCCAACACCATCATCACGTTCACTGACGACACATGATGGGTCAGATGGTCAGTAATGATGAAACAGCCTTCCAGAAGGAGGTGGAGAACCTGGCAAGCTGGAGTCACTGCACACTATTTTACACTGCTGTATACTGCTGTCACTGCACACCATTTTACACTGCCGTATACTGCTGTCACTGCACACCATTTTACATTGCTGTATACTGCTGTCACTGCACACCATTTTACACTGCTGTATACTGCTGTCACTGCACACCATTTTACACTGCAGTATACTTATGTCACTGCACACCATTTTACACTGCTGATATACTGCTCTCTATTAATGTCTATTTTGCAGTCATTTTATTTTACTCTGATAATTTCTTCTCTTTTTATACTCTTTTGTTTCCTTTGTATTGCATACTTCCTTCAACACAACACAGGAAGCATGACGAAAGGCATTTCACTGCTATGGTCCTATGGCTTCTGTGATCCCAAAAACACAGACAGAATCGCGGAATCGAGGCGTGAAAAGCGGTATTTACTTATTGGCACGGAATTTTGCGTATTGTGTCGATATTATATTGACATTTTCAACCTACGATTTTTTCACATTTTGCAGTTGTCCAGATAGTGTAAAGTACTCACTCAGAAGGCATAGCCAGAGAGTTTTTAGCAGGACGGACTCTGCCGTAGCCAAATCTGGCCAAATGAGTTCCGTGATGTTGCCTAACCATAAGCCTTGCTCCCACTGCAGGGACTTGGGGCACATCCCAAGCACTGGCGCCACCATGCAGTGGCCAGGGGGGTCCATGGCCCCACTGCTAAATTTGCTGGGCCCCCTCTCATCGGTTGCATATGCATGATATGCTTCTCTGTTCAATTATGCGTTTCAACAAATGCACAGTCAGCAAGAAGCTCTCGATTCACACACTGGGGGGGCTGACAGAAAGCAGCAGCTCAGCAGGTCTCTGGTCATCATCAACAAACGCCGGTCGCACGTGGAGTTAAGGAAGAAGACGACCGGTGAGTGAGTAAGTCATAATTTCTAAAAAGAAGGGTGGAAATTATTTATTCAGTAAACTTTGGCGGCTGGAGTGACGTTTTAGTGCCGAATTTAATTACCTTGCTAACGTTAGCTGGTGCTGGTATACTGTATATGTTGTCAGTTTGCAGACAATGAAGAGAAAGTCTATAGATCTCTCTCTTTACTTTAAGAAGAAAGTTAGTGCAGGAGATCAAGAGCCAAGAGGGGAGCATCCCCCTCTTAATGAAGAGGAGGATGCAGAGGAAGAAGCAGAGGCAGAGCATGATAGATAGACACCGACAGCATCAGTAAGAGAGCACAATGAAGATGAAGAACATCAGACAGCAGGAGATCAGGGATAGACAGCAACTATGGTTAGAGAGGCGACGCAGGACTCAGCAAAAGCAGGTGTTTGACCTGTTCCTGGACCAACAGGTGAAGTGATGACTGTAAGGAAATGGATCATTAGGCCAGATAGTAGTATCCTCTGTAACATCATTTGGATAAATGTATGGTTAGAGTGTGTTTCCATTAAGTTACAAGTCATGACATAATCACTTCTGCCTTCTGATTTATATTTATTAGTAGTTCAGTTTGATTAGTTTGAATAGAATTGTGTATAGGCAAATAAGTCAAAGTTGTATTGAACATAATTGGAGACTAGTGTGATGTTTTTAAACTTGGTTAAGCTTGTTCCCATATACATAACACATTAAAATAGGGCTATTGTGGAACTCTAAATGTTAATTGCACAATGTAATTTTAAGTCTATGCACATGTGATCACTGTAACATTAAATGTAACACAAGAAACCAGAGTATATCAGTAGGCCATCCCTTAAATCTTTCTCATAGTTTTCAATTAGCTACATACTACAACAGCATAACAGAATTCCTGAAATTCAGCTCGGTTTTTCGTTTTGTCGTGCCACCCCAAGATTTTCAGTGGCCCCATTTGGTCATCGCTATGAAGAAGTTCTGGCGCTACTCTTCCCAAGCGGCTCTAACGTTTACTCCATTGCGGTGTAGGTACCGGTGATGCACGGGTCCGTTCACGGGCGACCCGAATTCGCCCGGTGCTTTTATTTAACACGACCGCGACTCGGACTACTAAAGAACAAATGATGCCCGACTTGCTACATACACTTAAACCTATATGTTTAAATTTTATATTAACTCACCAAATGACCCGAATATCCATGCAGAACCAAGAATTAGTTTTTTGTGAGCTGCCGAAACGAAAGGAACCTTTAAGGACGCAAGAGTGGATACAGGCAATAGAGATAGACGGAGCAACACGTCATGCTGTGAAAAGCAGGAGACTGTCTCCTTAAATGCTAATTTTTCGGTTTGGCACCTTATAAAAACTTATCATTTGAAACAGGTCAAAATAAATCCGAAAAAATGGAATTTGGAAAAAACAAACAGAAATTAAGAAGATATTAAACGGATTTCATAGGGGACTACACTGCTCAGATGTATATGTGACAGGAAAACTTGGACTCTGAACCACGAGAAGACTCCGGCCATTTGAATTCCCCATAGCTTATATGTCCTCATTTGGGACGTTGGGGTGATTATCGTTATTATCATTATTATTCATTTTCATTCTTTAGCTTCTGTGACAGATAGAAATGTCTTTCATTTAACAAACTTTTTTTTAATTTGCCATGTGTGCATAACACAATGACACGAGACTGTCCACTTGTGAAGACAGTGACTCAGGATTTTTGTAAATTGAAGCACGTTTGTTCTGGCATGAAACAGACCGCGTACATCGACAAGGGCCCATATATGGTAATAGGCTTTGAACCAGAGCCAAAGTCTCCGGCAGACGTTTCCCAGGAGAACGCCGTGCAGCTCATATTTTAAACTACAGTACATTGTAGTTGTCCTTCATTGACCTGAAAGGAGATAACCTAAACCCATCCAGTAAAAACAGGTAAAAACAGGTAAAAACAATCAGCTGATTCTGAAAATTATTTTCAGTTATACCTGTATAATTATACACCAACGTATGCGACGGCATGTATCTGATGTGTCTACATAGAACTAGGCTAATCCTTAACATACTCATGGCAATTTTCTAGTTCATTTTTCCTATGTCGAAAGTCGATAATTACAGTTTTGCATAGAATTTAATGCCGCATTCACTGACATTCGTTACAATGCCTGATTTCTGTACGTGTAGCCGCACATTAAAATAACGAGATAATCACACATTCATTATTTGGTTAAAGCTTTTCTCCCGAACTCACCCCACCCTCGCAACTCCATTTCTGCTATCGTACAAAGTTTTATTCCAGTTGCTTCTCCTTTTTCAGTCTCAGTTTCCTCATTTGTGCTTTAGGCCTGAAGCATTTCCGAGGTCGTCTCAGTCCTCTGTGCTGCGGCCTGTTGTGGACGCCAAAGACCAGAAGCATGTGTCCGTGTATGTGTGTGGCTTTGCATAGATCACATGCGAGGACCAAATTGTCCCCAAAGTGTAGTAAAACCTGAAATTTCCCTACTTTTGGGGACATCTTTTGAGGTCCCCATTTGGATAACCCCAGTTTTATAAAAATCTGTGAATGCAATCAAAAAGGTAAAAATTATTGTAAAAGTCTTGTATTTGGTTTGGTTACTTATGGTTAAGGTTAGGGATGGGTATAGAGGTTAAGGGTGTGGTGATTCGGATTTAGGGTTTTTCCATTTAGATAGGGTCGCCATTTAGATAGGAAGACCAACGTGTGTGTGTGCACTGTGTGGGTATGTGTGTATATGCGTGCGTGCACTGTGTGGGTATGTGTGTATATGCGTGTGTGCACTGTGTGGGTATGTGTGTATATGCGTGTGTGCACTGTGTGGGTATGTGTGTATATGCGTGTGTGCACTGTGTGGGTATGTGTGTCTCGTCTATATTATTGTTTTATGATTTTTTAAAAGTTTTTAAAGTTTAGGACAAATGCTATTTAATTTCATTGTGTGCTGCATATTTTAAAATGAACATTAAGTGTGTGACTTGACTTGAAAGGCCGAGAACGGCGAGAAATATCAGCGCTGCCTGATTGTGTAAAGTGGGTTAATTCGATTATAGTGGTAGGTAAATAACAGAAACATGGCAAATGAAACAGCGCCGAGCGCTCCCAGTATTCACAGCGTCAACATGCATCTAATTAAAAACACTTCACTTCACGCTTGCGTTTTATTTCAATAATCATGTATGCCAATATTTTATTCTGATAGGCCTTTAACCCAGGTAGGAAGTAGCTGTACAGAAACATAATCAGTGAGAGTACATCCTGTATAAACTAAACTGTAAGCCATAGGTTACAATAAGGCTACATTAACCCAGAGAAAGCATAAAAACTGTAAATGGGAAAAAAGGAAAGAAATCGTTTATACAAGAAATTTAAGAGTCGTTATAAATCCGCAAAAATCTGCATGCTTCCGGCAAACCCCGGACAATGGGTTTCATGCTTTTTAAAAAGAAACCTCAGTAATTATGAAATGATATTTGCTCTTGACCCGCCACAAAATTGGACCTAATAAATTTAAAAGTGTCGTATAAAAAAAAAACAAACAAACACAAAAACAAAATACAATGACGGACTTTTGATACTGCCGCCTCAGTATCGGAACTTTCAGTTGTAAAATATTTCCTACCTAATATTTCGCACCGAAATATTTTAAATTTAAATGTAACCGATTTACGCCGATATAGACTTCACACTTCTAAATTTCACCGATAATAATTTTAACCAAAACTTTATATTTTATTATATGATCAAAACGGAATAACACTATACTACTACAGGCCTAATTATGATACAGTTTCAGTCATGTTGCTGAGGAACAAGCAGTGGAATACAAGGTCGGCTGTATTTTTATGCCGTCTTCACTATTCAGTTCCAGTTTGTTGTTTGCTGTTTTTTTGGTATTTATCGTTATATGTTTTTAAGTCTGAAGGGAGGCGCGCGACTGGCCCTATTATAGCCTACTTGCACAAACGACAATAAAGCTTTTGAATCCTTTGGTACAAATCGACCTGCCATATTTTCAGCTTTTTCATGCCAAACATACAAGCGCTTTATCTTGTAAAATCAATATCGCCTGAATCGACTAGTTCTGAAAAATGAAACAGTAGGATAAAAGATAAAAAGAGCGCCTATCGTCCGTTTTAACTGATATGGTGTACCGTTAATTTATAAACACTTTGAAAAGCTAAACTTTACCGCGAGACTACGCGAATACATTAATTACCTTAGAAGCAGTAAAAGTGGTTAATGTGCTTTTCGATATAAATACTATCTTTCACGTCATATGTGGATTGTATTGCTTAATGAAGGTGTAATTCCAGAAAATCCACTACGTCCCTATACCCGTTTTCCCTGGCGAGATCTATCGGTCGCTGGTCTCCGTAGTCCCGGGCGTCGACTTCAGCTCCGTGCGCCACCAGGACCTTCACGGTGTCAAGGAAGCCTCCTCTGGAGGCGTCGTGCAGCGGCGTGCCGCCGGTGTCGCGGTCCCGGAGGCTGGGATCGGCTCCGTACTGGAGGAGCACCCGCGCTACGGCGGTACTTCCCATCATCATGACCTGAACAATCGGTGAGTATTTTAGTATTACAGTACTCCGCAAAATCCTGCTAAAAACAGCATGTTACATTAATACGGCGACGAGTATGAATGTTACCTCTATTATTGTCAGTTCTTGTTATTATTATTATGTAATCATTATTATGATTCAATTTAAATATGGTGTACCACTCCACGTCTTTTACTAAAACACTGCCTATTAGTAGACAATTAGGTGGCAAACTTGCTCATACATATTTTCAGTGCCTAAGACCCTTTAAAGGCTTTTTTGTTTTGTTTTGTTTTTTTGTTTTTTTTAATCAATATGGACTACTACTCAAGTACAATTTCGTTCTAGTAATTTAATAGTAATTTATTAAAGTGATTTATTTATTCATCAAAAAACCAAACTACCCTATAGGATTTTACTAGATTAGGATTTTAAGATCTTTCACAAACCTGTGCAATACCAAGTTAAATCTGTGCAATATTTCTACCGGGCTAAATCTATGCAATATTTCTAAAACTTACAATGTGCAATAACCTGCTGTTATATATTAAGTTTCTTATGCACAAAAAGGTATTTTAAATTATTTTATTTTATTGCTTGCAATATTCTATTATTTTTGCATTGCAAAGGACTGTACACAATTTTCGTTAAACCTTTGTATAATGACAAATTTTCTGAAAGTTTCTGATTCTGATTTACTAACTAATAATAAAATTAAAAATACACTCCACTCCGTTATGCACCATATAAAACGATAGCGACCAGAATATCTGCTGAACAATTATAGCCCGAAATTGGAACTGCGTGATGGATTTTTTTACATTTAGTTTTGTTAGTTTTATGCCTGCTACAAATTATTTCACAAATCGTAACTGCGGATTTATAATACAAATAAACAAAAATAGAAAAATTTGAATCATATTGCACTATAATAAGTGACAAATATAGCCTAGCGATGCTGACCTTATTTCTGAAACAGTATTATCACTATAATACAGGGCTTGTATTAATTCTACGTTTTCTTAAAGTTTCTTTAAAACCCTGATTATGTGATGCCGTGAGATTTTCGTGAGTTTATCAAGTTTTAAAAATACCCCAGCAAATATAACATTGTGATACTGGTATTAAATCTTAAACAGCAGTATAATACATAGTGTATGTTGAATGTCGAATGGTCGGTTTTTGTAGTCTTTTGAAGAGCTGATTATGTGATACGGTTAGACTAAAATAATTATCTAGGAAATGCAGCGTTTATAAAATTATAACGGAACTAATATCATAATATGGATCTTAAGTCTAAAAGTACTATTAGTGTAATAAAAAGTCTGAATTGAATGGTAGGTTTGTAGTTTTTAAGCGCTGATTATGTGATACTGTTAGACCAAAATACCCTGGAAATGCAGAGCATTTGATAACGGAACCAATGCAGTATTATAACATTGGATTTTAAATCTTAAGCAGTAGCCCGTTAGGTGCTGATTATTAGATTATTTGACATGACCACACCACACCACCTCGCATCCAGAAAATGATTTTGGTGGCGATGCTCTGGCGGTCGGGGCACCGACCTGGAGGGCAGTCCGTCCGAACCTATTCACCGCGTTGGCATCGACCCCCGCCTGAAGCAGAGCTTGGACGTTTTCGTGGTTCCCCGTCGCCGCGGCCGATGTCAGCACATCCACCCGATCCATTGTGCTCGACGGCTTCCACTAAAGCTGTGTCCCTGCTGACAGGTACGCAAGCCGCATGACGGCCGGAGACGGCATGTCCAGCCTGTTGGCGGATGCGGGAGGGGCTCGGAACGCTTCTCTCCCCGGCTGTGGATCTGCTCAGACTTGCCCGGTGCGCAGACCGTGACGCGCAGCCTCAGCGAAGCAAACAGGAAGCCGCAAGCGGCCGTGTGATATAGTGGGTTATGAGGCGGAGCGGTCGGGGGAGGGGGGTGGCGATGGTCCCATCTCACAGCCGCCTTCAACCTGCAGGTTTTCGTGTTCTTTGGCCCCTGCCTGCTATTAATTAATAAACCTGTGTTGTTATTCAAACAAAAAGCTGACGTCTTCGACCAAAATTAATGCATTAAAATGTACACACAGATGACCTGCCGCTCATTTTTCTGTCGTCCATTAAAAGAAAAATTTAGCCCAAAACAGAGATGCAGTTTTTAAGTTTAACTTCCACCGATAATTCAATATACATTCCGCTAAAGCAAAACAAACATTCAGCTTGCATGTTTCCATGTTTTTTTCTCACAGAATTGTATGACGACATTGTAAGATTAAATGTATTCAAACCAAAATCCCAATAAAAGGTCGACAGGATTTAAACTGCGCTTTCTAGAAAATAGCCCCATAAAAAACTATAATACAAAGTAAATACACAATCTTGTTGTACAGCCTAATATAACTAAATGCCATCGAAAAGAAATCATTATTCATTTCGATGAAATTAAATATATATATATATTGTTAAGGGCATTATATTTTGCATATGAAGCGCATGCTGACATTTTTAATTAATTAACTTGAAATAATACGACCGTTCTGTTAGCATTAGGAACGAATGAAAAGCAAAACGTTAATATATCCTGTAAGGTAAACGCGCTCTCTTATACTCGATCGTTAAATGCCTTTTATACGGCTGTCAAACACGCACAGCCACTCTGCACTAAAGTCTGGAAACGTTTCTCCTAAAACGTACGGTAGGTCTCTGTTTATTTTTTATTACATTTATTTGGCATACAGGTGATGCAGATCATATACAACAATCATACTGCTGTCAAGGACACACGGATTCAGTTTTCTGTCGTACTGTTTTTTTTATAAATTATATAGTATAGGCGTATTTCGTATACCAGCCCTATCTGACGAATACAGTGCGCGAATATTATAACCTATAGGCTTGAAATACATTTTGGATTTTAAGATAAAGACATTACAGACACCGCTGGTGCAGCTGATGGTAAAACACCGGCGTACCATTTTCAATATTCTGTCATAAGGGCATCATACCAACAGCTATAGTTGGCAATAATCATCACTGTTGTAATAGTAATAACTGTCCTACAGTTACTGCGTCTAAAACAATCTTTACTTTTTTTCATTAATATACAATCATCTTCTCACTACTTTATTACGAATTAATATAGGCCTATTATTTTTTTTCGATTAAAGGAGTTTTATCCTAAGAAGCAGACATTTTCACTTTCCAACCCACGTCGAACCGGCTATAGCAAATGTGACATTAAAAGGGAAGAGACGGAAATTGCTTTGTCGTTTTGCTGTAAGACGCGCCGCTCACCGTCGAGCATGCAGGGCCGCGGCCCGCTACATCTTTGTTTTTTTCTTCAGAATACGCTCCTTGCATCTGCCACATCTCATAGTCCAGGCTGCCGGCAGTAAATAACAAGGTGAATACTGATTCCTGCTTATTGAAATGTCAAGCTCTGGGCATCAGGCACAGAGTGCCCGGGAATTTTATGCCCAATGCCAACTCATTTTGGCTTCTTTCTGGGGGAACCTCGATGAATGATGCCACAATTTAAGTCTTATTGTCGCAATAAATGACATTTTAAAAAGCAAATAAATCATAAATAGCATATTGAACTCTTCAAGCAGTCTGACTTTTTCAGCTCCGCCTGGTCTCTTTCTGACATCATCGTTTGAGAAACTTCCAGTGATGAGCCATAATAAGCCATTAGCAGCCGCCTACCTCGCCCACCCAGCGATTGCACAGCGAATTTGCGGTTTTCGCTATGCAGCACGATTGTGGTTTTAGACTCACTGGTTAACATTATCAGGCGTGCTTTTCAGTTCTAAAGTTTGTTTCCGACTAGCTCAATTTTAAATTTGTAAGGTAAACGCGTAAATTTATTTTGTTTCTGACCGGCACAACAGATAAGCGGCTCACAGGGAATTCTCCAGGGTCTCCCGACTGGCCAGTCCGGGCCTGCTGGGCACATGGATACTGCAGAGCCTCGTACACCCATTAAGCAAACACTACATAACTAACAAGCTGCTAATTACTGGACACGGGGTTCAATTTGACAATTAGATATGAAAGGCTGAAAACTGAACGTGAACTGCTGAATTCCAGCATGGGGGCTGCGGTGCCCGCTGCGGTCATACATATGCGTCATACCTATACGTAACCGTCCGGGAAGCTGCAGTGAGACGAGCGCTCTGCAAAAGCAAGGAGATCAAGGTGAACCATGAATGGAGCTGTAATGAATTTGTTTTGAACGAATGGTGTGGGTGTGTTTAGCAATCGCACAGCCGTTCAGAAACGAGGCGTTTTTGTTTGCCCAAAATGACCTTCCCCTCTTGGTGAGGAAGGCGGGCTGCGCGTGGGTGCACTGATGGCTGGATGGACGGCGGGCTGCGCGTGGGTGCACTGATGGCTGGATGGACGGCGGGCTGCGCGTGGGTGCACTGATGGCTGGATGGACGGCGGAAATCCCCGTGCTCTCCGCATGTTTACGGCACGAAAACGGGAACCAAGCAGTCAGGCATCTGCTTATGAAGCCACTTACATCCATTTGCAGTATAAATGTCAGTTCATTCATTTACTTTTGTTTAATCATGCGTGTAGTTTTAAAATGCATTGTATTCATGTTTTTATACATTTAAATGAATACAGTGAATTCAGAAGAAGTATGCAATTTAAGCTTTGCCCTCGGTCTCGTTTTTTTTTTGTGTAAATGTTAATAATGGTGCGGGGCAAGTGTTTTTCAGGTAATGTGGGGCACTGTTCAAGTGCTTTAAATTAATTAAAAGTATATCATTGAAGCAGTTATTTTGTTCTAATGTATAAAATATAGTGTTTTCTTGATACTTATACACGATCCTCGTGTGTACCACGCCCCCTCATTACCCGCGTGTATTACCCTGATTGTTCCCAGCTGTTTGATGTTAGTTTTGACCTGTTTAGTGTATATCAGTCCACGTCTACCTCTGTTCCCCAGATCAGTCATTGTATGTGTTGTGGGTGTTCATATATATATATATATATATATATGATTACACTGCCCTGACTCCAGAGTTCATTACCCATTATCACCTGGAACATTGTGTGTGTATTATATTAAATAATGCTTATTGTAACCTGTGCCGTTCAAAATAAAAATAAAATGGCATCAAATATGAAGTCAGTGAGAGGTAGGAAGCAGAAGGAGGGATGGACACAGTGTAGGTCAACAGCAGAGAGGGGGAGAAAATGCAGCTAAAGAGGGGAAGGGATGAGAATCTCTGCAGTGAGGAGAGAATACAATGGGCAGCCAGTGAGTGCAGGAAGCGCAGGCCTGGCTTCCTGCCGTAGCGTGGAACGTGCCCCTCTCCTCTCTGCGAAGGGCTGGAGGTGTGACTAAGCGTGGCGTCACTCTATCCTGCATCTATGAATCTTGTGCAGAAGAAAAAGGGCTATTGGGTGATTTATGTTTACATTGATTTATGTAGAAGGTGCTTTTGTCCAAAGCGACGCTGGAGGGAGACGAACATCACATCCAAGGGCGTAACTTTGGCTGGAACATTGGGGGGGTTGAGGTCTCCACCCATTACGGGGGAAACATGATTATTGGGGGGGTTGTATTAGCTGGTTTTGATATATTGGGGGGGCTACAACCCCCATAATTTACGCCCATGATCACATCACAGACATATGGCTGTCGAGGGTTCGACTCGGCATAAGTGCGGCTCAGCTGAGCTTCCAGTGAAGGACCAGCTACAGGTGTAAGCAGGATCTTCACAGCATCTACCAACAAAGCAAGAACCTAGATGTCACTGTTTTTTATTAAATAACATGTAGGTTAATTAACCTGTAAGTGAATATAATTTCATCTACATTATTTAATATTAAAGAATTAAGACAAAACAACAAAAATCCACTATTCTGATTAATTCCATTTTTAATGTAAAAGATTTTATGTATTCAGTTTACCATTAATTAATATTCAGAATCGTTACGAGTAAAGTAATTTCTAGATTACAAAATAGATGGGCCCACTTTACCAAACAAGGCACTCATTTTACCTGAAAAGACCGTCTGAATGGAAATACAGGACTTAAAATGTTTGAGAGCTTAAATCTATCAATTAAATCAATGATCTATTTAAATTTCAATCCAATAACATGACAAGGCTTGAAATATAATAATAATACAAAACTATGTTTAAAAATGCCTGACAGCCAGGCACTAAACAGTGTCAATCCATCACAGCCCCACCCCCCTTCACAGTGTTTTCCAGTTACAGTGTCTCCCTGTCATTGGGCTCTCATCATAGTGTCACCCTATCACAGTGTCAATCCGTCACAGGGCCCCCCCTTCACAGCATTGCCCAGTTACAGTGTCTCCCTGTCATTATAGTTTCACCCTGTCACAGTGCCACCCTGTGCCCACAATCTGCAGGCCTGAATATAAAAATATGCCGTCATCTGCCTGGCCTGCATGCCATTTTATTACTTACTGTATCACCATGTCACAGCAACGTGTCACGGCCCGCTCCGTCCGATCCTAATGTGTGCCACGCCCACCTTGTTACCTCGTGTTCATCCCTGATTGTTCTCACCTATTGCCTGTTCTGTTTGCCTAGTCTTGTGGATTTAGTCCTCGTCTGAGTCAGTCTTCCCTAGAATTGTCATTGATGTTGTTTTGCGTCGTGTCAGATCCTGTCCTGTTCTGCCCGTCTGAGACCAATAAATCCTCGTTCGTTGGACTTCACGACTCCACTTGCATGCCGTACGTGACACAACGTGGCATGGCTCAGACAAAGAGAAGTGATCCAGTGGCAGCTCCAAGACAGAAGGGTTTTATTAAGAAAGCAGGGCTGGCATTCCCAAAACTAATCGATTTCAGTGAATAACAAGATTATGATGTAAGTAAGGAATGGTTGAGGTCTACGTGTGTTTC